AGGGAAGAAGAGAGGAGAAACGGCTCAAGGAGGCGACCCCGGGTATTCGTCAGAACGTCACCCCAAAGAGAATGACGACAATTGAAGTCACCCAGCAGGAGCACAGGCTCCGGCAAGGAGTCTAGGAGGTGTTTCAAATCAGGAAGAGAGAGCGGGACACTCGGGGGGAGATAAATGGAACAAACTGTGTACCATTTCCCCACAAAGATACGAGCAGCAGAACAATGGAGAGGCGAAGGAAAAAGTAAAGGAACAAAGGAAACATCAGCCCGAATCAAGAGAGCAGAAGAATTAGAAGCCCCAGCAATGGCTGGGGGGGGGGGAGAGAAAGGAATAGCCACGAAAACGACCAGGACGAGCACCAAGCATCGGCTCCTGGAGACAGACACAAAGGGGCGAAAACCGCAAAACCAGAAGTTGGAGTTCGAGGAAATTGGCGTAATAACCTCGAACGTTCCATTGAAGAATGGACAACGACGAGAAGAGAAAGGACAAAAACAGAGAACAAGGAAGAAACAAAGGCGAAAGACCAACAGAGCACGTTAAAGAATATCAGGGTCGGGATCAGGGTCAGCAAAGTCAGGGTTAGGGGGCATGGGTAAACTGAGCAAAGACGGAGGGAAGGAAACGGGAGAACAGATCAGAGGTGGGCGGGCAGGGTCCGGAGGAGGAGGAGACAACGGAGAGGAGCAGTCAAGGACAGCAGCAGGAAGAGGGGGAGTAGAAAGAGAGGAGCGCACCCCAGCAAGAGCAGCAACCGAAAGGGAAGCAGGGGCCAAAGAAACCTCCATAGCAGGAACAGGGGGCGCAAGCACTGAAACGGGAGTGGAAGGAGCAACAGAGCCAGAAGGAGGAGCTGAGGAAGAAAGCGAAGCCTTCTTACCCGCCGGGGAAGAGGAAGGAGAGGAGCCAGGCTTACGCTTCTGACTTAAAGAGACCGGTGTCCCAGCAACAACGTACCGGGCAACGGATTCCAGTGTCTCAACAGGAGAAGCCGAACGAGAGCACACACGACGGCCGTTAGGAGAGCGATGGACATCCGCCCGCACCGACAGGCGGCGGGGAGAGCCGATAGATGGAGGAAGAGGATGGGAAGGAGGATCGGAGGGGGACGAGGAAGGAGACACAGAAGACACGACAGACCGGGTAGAAGGAAGGGGAACCCCAGACAGAGGACCAGGAGGAGGATCCTTCGGGAGAGAACCCAAAGGGACAGAGGAGGGGGCAGTGGGCGCATCAGGGTCCAAGGCCTGGAAACGGTTGTGAGTCTGAGGAAGGCGGGAAGGACGAGGAGAGGAAGAGCGCAACACGCGAGCATAAGAGATATTAGCATAAGGCGGGAGCCGGCGAACCTGGCGCCTCGCCTCAGGAAAAGATAAACGCTCCCGGTGCTTCAAGTTGAGGACGGCTGCCTCAAGCTTGTAATGGACACACGCACGGGAGAAGGTAGGATGGGCCTCACCGCAGTTGAGGCAACGAGCCTGGGGAGAAGCGCACTCCGACTTAGAGTGACCTTCGCCACCACACAAAGGACAGAGAGAGACAGTCCCGGAGCAGCGGAGGGCACCATGCCCAAACCTCCAGCACTTGTTGCAAAGCCGAGGAGAAGGAATGTACTCCTGGACAGAGCACCTGGCACCAGCAAGAATGACAGAGGGTGGAAGGGTCCTACCATCAAAGGTAATCTTCACAACCCGGAGGGGTTGACGGCGACTACCACGAGGGGGACGAGTAAACGTGTCCACCTGGAGAATAGAATGGCCCTGGGCAGCGAGGATATGTCGAATATCGTCGTGGCAGTCGCGTAGGTCCCGAACACCGGTCGCAACATGGGGCGGGAGCAAAATAGTGCCAACACTGGCATTCAACTGAACGTTCTTCGAGACCCGAACGGGGGTCTCGCCAAGGCAGGATAAGGCAGCCAAGCGGGAAGCAGCATCCTGAGAAGGAGCAGCAACGACACGCGTACCGAGACGAGTGGGGTTAAAAGTAATGGAGGCATCCACGGAATCAATGAGATGGCGATGAAGGGAGAAATCGTCAGGAGGCGCAGAATCAAGAGGGAGGAGATCAAAATATTTGGCCCACGAAGCGGGACCAAACAAGGCTTGATAGGTAGCAGAACTGGAAGGAATCGAGCGAGGGCGGCCGTGACGAGAACGGCGGTGAGAACCCCCAGAGAGAGAGGGGTTAAAAGGCGCAGTAGTTACAACTAGAGAAGGAGCCGCGCCAGGGGACGAGGTAGTCACCACTGGGGGCTTGGGGCTCGACCCAACCACAGAGGAGGGAGGGGAGCCAGGGGAAGGAGTCAGAGAGGCCAAAGGAGGAGCAAGGTCGGGGCCCAATGCAGCGGAGGCTACAGAGCCCGGTCTTCCAATACGGACCGACTCGGGGGCTTGGTCGCCCACCCCACGAGCCTGAAAAGGTAAGCCAGAAGCAGCCGAAGCAGGGGTTATCATCTTGACGAAATTACGAATTCACTCACGAATGTGCCCCCACACCCACCATGGAGCCACAATTAGAGGCAGGACACCCAACAAGAAGCTATCGCCGATCTTGTCGGGGCCTCCTAGGGGTGCGTCGTGAGTATACGCCCCACAAACGCCACCTTAAGAAACCGACAGTCCGTCGAGATCGGGTTCAGTGACGAAGTGGGGATTGACAATAAAAGGTTCCCCTCGCTCTCGACGTCGGGTACTGCAGTTCTACGGGTGCAAGAGTATGCCTCCTCAAGCACCCGGGCGTCAAAGTAGAAGAAGTCCAAGGGAAGAACCAGAACGAGCAAAAGGTCGGCAGGAAACGGCAAGCAGATAGGAGAAGAGGGGGGAGAAAAACGAAACAGAAGGAAAAGATGCCCAGCGGAATTGGAGAGGACGGCAGCAGGAGCACAAGGCTAGAAAAGGACAGAGGACTGTCCCAAGGAGCATCACACTCCGGCAGCCGCCCACTAAGCCCCCAGACGGCGACAACGAGCTGAGCGGGGAGGGGGATGGATATGCAAGCCTGATACGATGGAAGTACTTTTGTTCTACTGCTCCCTTTCCTCAAAAGTGGTTCGTAGTTTGTTTAATTCTTGTAGCCCGTAGCAGTAGTTTAACTCCCAGGTACCTATTTACTGCCAAGTGAACAGGTGCACCAGGGTGAAGAACTCTGCCCATTTGTTTCCGCCATCGCCGGGGGATTATAAAACTAAAATAAGTTTACAAAATTTTTGTAAACCGACAGTTTGGCAGTTGGATTACCGAGCATTTGACTCATGAATATTGGTAGTTGGTGCAGGCGAGAATATAGGGGTGAAGAGCAAAGATTGCAGTGCAGGGAATAATTAGGTGGTGCAACTTGTCTACTTTTATCACTAGTCATATTTATGTCTGCAAATTTAGTATAGCCAAGTATCTATCCTCCCCACCCCCTTATTGTTAGTTTTGACGAGCTATGTTAAAAAGCGTAGAAAATATTCCTAACGTATTATGTTTTCCTACTAAAGTAGGAAAGCATAGTGGGAATAAACTTTACTGCCATAACCTACCAATGGCTTAGACTTCAGTTTGAGCCCCTTACTAGATATGAGGGTAATTAATGTAAAGTAAACGGCAGCACATGCTAGAAGATTATAGAGTACAGAGCCTCCACATCCACCTACCGCCAGGCAAAATATAACAACTAAGGAACCTAATGAAAAGGCAGACCTAGCTTTAACTGTACCTGAAAAAATTACCTAGAGTTCCTCTCAGATTAAGGGGTAATCAAGACAATACTCTCAACTATCAAAATTCGCCAGAGGCAAAGTAGCGGAAGGCAGATCCACTGCGATGTGGTACGAACAAGCCACCGAGTACTCTTTCAAGCCTGGCAAAAAAGCTATCTAGATACGTTGCAGTAGCCACACACAAACCTACTTTACTACAAGTGCTGCTGGAATATAATAAACCCAATGGTTAAAGAATCGTATGGGGAACAGATGCGCCGTTATTACACTTACTGGAATGTGAAGCAACTGAAGCCCTGTGCACCATACTACCAAGAGCAGCCGAATTTTGCGCAAAATCCACAGCGACTAATGTAAAAAGCAGTTTAAGAATTAGATACTAGTCAACATTGTTCAGTTATATCCACCACAAAGATTTAAACAAAACCAAAAAAAACGGTAGGAAACTACCTTTAAAACTTACCAAATAACAATAACAAGACTTGCGTTGATAAAAACTATTACGGGCTCACTGGAGTACGTGCTGATGTGATTTTGTTCAGAGTAGCTAGATGTAAATGTACGTTAACGACCCCCTCACCGAGGTAGTGGTAGCAAGGTAGTTTACAAGTTTAATGTTGCCCCAGGTTACAAGCAAATCACGGCAGGGACTACCTCTGCCAGGGTAGCATGTAAGTGGGGGAGCCCTATGTATCAGACTTGGTCCGGACTAGCCCTAGTGAAAGTACAGACTTAATTACCGTAGGAGGGGGGAAGGAGAGAAAAAAAAAAAAAAAAAAAAAAAAAAAAACTAATCAAGGACAACAGCGCGACTCTTCCTAAGTAGTGTTCCCGCTTTACCTGCACAGTAGAGGGACAGTCACGCTTCATGCAGGTCTGCGTTCAATTCCCTATCGTCCAAGTGGTTGGGCACCATTCCTTACCACCCCCTGGCAGTCCCATTCCTGATCCTGACTACTTCCCAGTGCTATAGCCATAATGGCTTGGCGCTTTCCCTTGATAATTCCCTTCCCTCCCGCTTTACCTATGCAAAACTAGTCTCTTATCTTCGGCACTAGAGGCCTTCCTAGGAGGGTTACCTCCCCATATCGAGGTGAATGGTCCGAAATTGGCATTAAAAATACTGCATATAGTTAGATATTCCTCTCGTTGGTGTACAAGAGCCTCTGCGTCACGACAAAGTAAAGCCGATGAGAATTTATAAGTTGGCATTTAAGTAAAGAAAAAAAAAAAAGAGAAAAAAAAGGGGGGGGGGAAGAAGGGGGACAAATGAGGAAAAGTAATATATAAGTGATGCATACCAAGATTTTATTTGTCAGTAAAATTTCTAGTTAGCTAATGGTACTAACTAGTCCATTATCAATTATTTAAACTCATTTATACAATGAACAAACTAGGAACTACCAAGCCCGATATCATACAAAACACGTAAAGCTTAAAACTAAATGGGCGACAGCTACATACTGTAACCGCAGTAAGTATGTAGAGCGGTCCCAACGACTACAGCCATCTACTCTTGTATCAGTCTATTAGATTCGGCGAGACGTAAAAAAAAAAATTACATAACTTAAGTTTACAAACCACGTCAAAATCTTGGGTGACTAAAATACAACACCTTTAGCAAGTACAGTTAAAATAGGCTCAGATGAATGTGGAATATGAAAGTGTCCAACATTTAAAAAATTAATACATTAAGCAGAAAATTTATACTGCGTTATATGATTTTACGTTAGTTCCCACGTTACTAGTTTCTTTTATAAGGAGTTTGGGGAAAAAAAAAAAAAAAAAAAAGCTTAAACTACTAAAAATCTTCCATATACACTAGTATCAGTTACACCAGCCAACAGTACACTTCAGATGGTATTTTTTCCCTCATCTCAAAGTCTACCTGTATATGGGAGTTAATATCCATAGTACATTTGCCGTTTAGACATTTTTAAACAGGCTGCAGATTTCATTACCGATAGTAGAGTCACTTGCGTACTTCTGCATCACCAAACATTATCATCTTTGATCGCCTTACCTGTAATTATTGCCAGCATTAGTTATGGTTTACAATAATACGAGAAAAAAAAAAAAAAAAAAAAAAAAAAAACTTAATGGTGCCCCCAAATAACCAATTTGCTCAAGTTAAATTAGCTACACCTAAGCTCACCGATAAGAATTTCTTTGCATTTAAATTCAGAAATTAAAGTAATAAGATGACCAAGGTTCCTGGCAAGAAGTTCAAGTCGGGGAGCCAAACCAAGTCAATCTTTCCTAACTTAAAAAGCGACAGCTCTCTACTACCACCGGAAGCATACAAAAGGAAATACCACCGCTACTATACTGATAAAACTTTTAAGAGAGCTTTCAAAGCAATTTAGCTAATCTCAACTTTGCATAAAATCTACCTTTATTCCTGCAGTCATTGCAGTGGACTAGAGGGCATTGCGCCTACCCCCACTTCATGAATTCCGGATATGAAATATGCCACCTAGAGTCCAGCATTCATTTGAAGCCAAAATGTAAACTTTTGATATCCTTAAAAAAAAAAAAAAAAAAAAAAAAAAAAAACCATCCGGAGTCCGCCAGTGCAGACTGCCTATCACATGCCTCCGTGTGACTAACCATCCTGCGTGATGGTAATTTTTTTTTAAGCACTACGTAACTAGCTTTGATACTATTCATACAGTCTAGGGTAGCTGCACAAATGCAGATTAACCGAAATGGGTTAAAACCAAGTTAAGGTATAAATGCATGAAGTGCATTTAACATTCGTGTTCATGCACTAAAATACCACATTACCGATCTTTCTGGTTGTTAAGAGACATTTCCATTTTATCAGTACTATGATAATGATTTTCAAAACCTATAAACATTAAAAATTTGGGTGAGATTTCGTTAGAGATTGGGGGGGGGGGGGGGGGGGAGTAACGGGTGTTGTGGCATGGTATAACATGTCATTAAGACAAGTTAAAGATTGCAGATACCTTTGGCATTTTAACTAGAACCTAATCTAGTACAGAATAGGTATTACCATTCACTTTAAAACACTAAAGATACTAGCTTATTACTTTATTCAGGTGTACTCTGAAAAGACCAATCAGTTTACAACTAATCGAGTTACACTAAATGAAGGTGGGGTGCGAGGGAAAAAAAATAGACTGGCACAAATTGAAAGTTTTAGCTACACTATATATTTTACTCACTTGTAAGTAGTGTGCTCTGACGACCAGAAGAAAGAAGACTTCCAAGAATATGACTAGGGTAAAGATTACCCCATAGGTTATCATTTCCGTCCAGTATTGGAGTGTACCGGCCATGTACAGTAAATCCAAAGCGAAGATTATGTGGATAAAGATCTGTGTCAACAGCACAAGCATGAATGGAATAAACAACCTCGTCTTTTCCTGAAAGTACAGAAAAAAATTACACTAGTTATTCTTGTGGAGGACAAGGCGCTCGTGATGTTTGTATCAAGATATTCAGCTAAACTTTGGAAGTCTATTGGAGGTTTGTTGCTACTCCGGGATTACCCTCCGTTTTGAAAAGGGAGGCGACTTATAGGGGGAGGTGGGCGTTATACAGCTCCCCCTCCCTACCACCCCAGTAGATGTGGTTCTGCCTAGATGCCCGCTATGAAGTTTGTGGCAGTGAACCGTGTACTACAGAGGCCATTGCACTTTACACTTCTTACGAGATTTTAGTAGTCTATTTTAGTAGCTAGTTTGCCAATATTCTTTGAACCGTATGGTATAGTCCTCATGGTCAATTTATTACGGGCAGTTTAACTATATTTGGGAAGTATAGTTAAACTGCCTATATTAAGTTAGTCGCCACCACTTGTGGATAGGCGACTAACGCTGTATGGATAAAATGGGCGTTTACCCAGGAGGATCATAACTATTTAGCAGGCTCTGCTTTAAGAAAAGGGGGAGGTGGTAAAAATTAGGGGGGGGGGGAACCTACATTATAAACCTTATCTGGAATAGGCCATCTGAGGCCTAGTCTACAACTTACCATTAAAATACCATAGAGGAGAAGACTGCTGACTAGGGCTTGAATTACGCCAATCGCCAAACCAAAGGCCACAGTCCCCCTCGCTATATAAAAAAAAAATCGTGAAAAACTGGTAATTATGACTAACTTTATTCACACTTCCACCCCTTCCCTCTAAGAAAATTTAGAAGGGAAGATTTCATGAACATCTAATATTGCTGTGGCACAACTGGAGTACAGTTCTGTACAGAATACATACCCCATTTAAAGTAGAAATCATAACAGTCTGCAGGATCCTCGCTGTCAGCACAGTGGTTTGGAACAATTTGTAGTACGCTGCCATCAGCCAACATGGTGGCATCCATCACAATAAAGATAACAGACGTGATCTGTAGTACCACAAGGTAGCCATTATGTCTACAATAATGGAGTAATTCGTCAAGCTTTTAAATATGTACATGTCAAGTAGGGATTTAAGTGGACACGAGCATGGCGTTCTGTAGTAATTTACAGTTACTTCATAGTCAAATTATTTGGGAACTAGTTTTAACATGTGCGAACTACTGAAGATTAATATTGCAGTTTCACAGGATTAACCCAAGCCCATCTAATATAAGTTATTGTCGCGTAGAAACGTAGCTATGCAAAAAGGTTTAATCAATATTTATGACAACTCTTAATACGCGTTTAAGCTGGTAGAGTAACGGCGAGGTGGTAAATAAAAGTTTGAGGAGGGGGGGGGGGGGGGGAAGTGAGCAAGTAAATTTAAGCAAGCAAGACTTCTAGATTAAATTTATCGTGTCCGGGGACAGGACGGCCGCCAGAGTACCAACTCGTTTTGACTTAATATCAAGTCATAAGTAATCATGAGAATTTACTAAAAATGCCATCTCCACCGAAGTCACTACGACGTGCGAGGATGAAGGGTATAAAGGGGTACCAGTAACCCAAGGAGCTGAAGGTTCTTACCAAGAGAAAGCCGCCAAGGAGGAGACTTCCCGTCTTGATCTTTAAGCAACAGCATTCTTTTGGTTCCCACATTGTTAAAGATCTGTGGGGAAATAAACATCGCCGTCAAGTTAAAGGGGGAGAGAGCTGGTAATCTAAATTATGGTTATGAAAAGCATTTAAGAGTGGTTTTTGAACAAGTGAACTAGCTGGCGTTTAAACTAAAGCATGTTAAACTACAAATCTTACGTACTCGGGCAAAGTTTAAGCTCTTAAATGCGCTTATGTAATACATGCTGGCGCACATGTCTAGTACTTTGTGCGTCCCCATAGTGATCGTTCAGTAGTACACTTTACATCATGGTAATAGTTAAAATCCCTATCTGTTAAGCACTTTGCTAGAGCTTTTAATCATTTCTACCCCCATCCACAAACCATGCTCCCACAACCCAGCGTCTCCCTGCCCATACCTTTTTATCCTATACCTTCGTCAAGAATTGAATTCCTACATTTCACATTTTGTATGTTACAAGTCAAGTTGCTAGTAGGGCAATTCTATATAAAACAAATCTAGCAATTATAACAGGACCTGAAATGGTTCATCGTTTTCAGATGGAAAGTCCCATTAATGGGCAGTGACAATCGTCTTGCACATAATACACAAACAAATTTATAAAAAAACTGTCAAAGCTCGCTCAAAACTCACCACCGAGAAACGCTCGTGTCAAAGATAAGCAGATATGCAGGACGTGTGTGTGTCTTACTCGGCGTTAGTCAGTGTTGTGAGAGGTCAAGGGCCATCTGAGCCCCCAGGTCACCTGGGCTCCCGGCCTCCACCAATCAGCTCCCTCCGTTCCACAAGTCACTACGTATGCTGAAGATTTCCTATGGAACATCGGAATAATATTCACGATTGCATTACTTTTACTTCTTAACTTTACAGTCGATATTTTGCATCTACATCTAGCTTCAATAGTCTCCCCGCAGGCATTCAATTAAGATTAAATTCTGGATACGGAGATATAGGCTCCTTGACCTCATGCTCTACAAGCAGTATGGACGAGCTATTTACCGAGTTTGAGTTACTTTCGGCCCTGAACACAAGTAAAGTCACATCCACGTGAGGCTGGCGTTACTTACGACACATTGCGTTTGCCTCATTTATTACTAGGAAAACCCTTTCTTGAACTTTATAACAATCTATATTACTGGTGAACTTCTTATCTCTTAGACCAATAGTATCATCATTCCAATTCCTAAGCATAATCAAGAGAATGCTTTCCACCCAGTTTCCCTTACTTGTTGCATTTGCAAAACATTCGAGAGAATGGTACTAAACCGTCTCCCGTATAGAGTAAAAACCATGCTCTCCCCCCAGATATAAGGCTTCATGCATGGAAGGAGTGTGCATCATTGCATCACCACCTTTCTTACCCTGCACACTGACAAGTCACACCACCGTCCTTGATCTCAAGTCTTCGTTGATAGTGCAAGCCGACGTGTCATTTTGAGTGAGCTTGCAAGAATGAATATTGGTGGTCGGCTTCTTTGTTGAGTCAGAGGTTACTTATCCAACAGGAAGTCATCTGTACTGTTCCACGGGCACAGTGGTATAACAGGAGACTTTGAGCTAGACACCCTACAGGGACGTGTCCTCAGCCCTACCTTATTTAATATTTTAATAAATGCAGTGTTAAACTCTGTGCCTAGCAAACCCAACGTGCCATCATTAAATATGCTGATGATATAATGATACATACCACTTGTTATGACCCAATTGGTCCTAAATTATATTGGAGGTTTTAGTTCTGTTGGGTATTATTTGCATTTTCTATAACCAATGTTCCAACGATGTGTAAATTTTTCATTCAAAATGATCTGCTACCAGAAACTTTAGCCAAATATCCCCAGTTTACTAACTGTAGGTAGTAACTAAGTGATTGTAATCTATCCACCGCTGCCCACTGGATGGGGGGTGGGGCGGTGTGCAGGACAAACATATCAATTGTGACACTAGGCTCTCCACATATGTCAGTTGCTTAATTTATAAACTGTACTTGTGGTCGATCTCGAACCCATTGTTGATGTGATGACTTATATTGAATTTTGTAACTAGCTCATCAAGATTGTAACTTGCTTAGCTAAATGAACTGTGGGGTTCAGTCCCTGAGCCCATTATGTGCCTCTGTAACCCTTTCCACTACCGCCCACAAGATGGATATGGGGTGCATAATAAATGAACTAAACTAACTAAACATGGAAAGTGAACTTATCATTGCGAAAAGTTCGATTCTAATGTTTGTCGTGAGTCATCAAAACAAAAGGTCGCCGGGTTCACAATGCGTATATACAAAATATGAAAAGTTTTTTCTAATGTCTCTGTGGCTCATTTGGGTACTCAGTTTCTATCTGTGTCCCCTTGTTCATGTTCCGCCCGTGCTAAAGCGTTTGTCTTTGTCCACCCTGTCAATTTCCCTGAGAATTTTGTAGATGGCTATCATGTCTCCCTTTACTCTTCTGTCTTCCAGGGAAGTGAGTTTCAGCTCCTTTACCCTTTCCTCGTAGCTCATACCTCTCAGTTCTGGGACGAGTCTGGTGGCATACCGCTGAATCTTCTCTAACTTTGTCTTGTGTTTAACTAGGTATGGACTCCAAGCTGGAGCTGCATATTCCAGGATGGGTCTGACCTAAGTGGTATATAGGGTCCTGAACGATTCCTTACATAAGTTTCTAAAGGCAATTCTTATGTTGGCCAGTCTAGCATGTGCCGCTGAGAATATCCTTTTGATGTGGGCCTCTGAGGACAGGTTCAGTGTGATATCAACCCCCAGATCTTTCTCTCTATTTGACTCTTTTTAGGATTTCGCCTCCCAGATGGTAACTTGTGTTCAGCCTTCTGTTCCCTTCGCCTAATTTCATTACTTTGCACTTTTCTGAGTTGAACTTTAGTAGCCATTTTCTAGACCATTCCTCCACCCTGTCCAGGTCGTCCTGTAGTCTCTATCATCATCTGTCTTGATTCTTCTCATAATTTTTGCATCATCAGCAAACATTGAGAGGAATGAGTCTATACCCTCCGGAAGATCGTTTACATATATTAGAAACAGGCTGGGACCAAGTACAGAGCCCTGTGGGACTCCGTTGGTGACATCTCGCCACTCTGATGTCTCCCCCCTCATAGTTACTCGATGTTTCCTGTTGCTTAGATACTCCCTTATCCACTGGAGCACCTTACCTATTACTCCTGCCTGTTGCTCCAACTTTCGTAACAGCCTTTTATGGGGTACTGTGTCAAAAGCTTTCTGACAGTCCAAGAAAAATGCTGTCTGCCCACCCTTCTCTTTCTTATCTAATTTTTGTTGCTTGGTCATAGAATTCTATTAACCCTGTGAGGCACGATTTACCATCTCTGAACCCATGCTGGTGGTGTGTTACAAAGCTATTTCTCTCCAGATGCTCTACGAGCCTTTTCCTCACGATCTTCTCCATCACCTTGCATGATATACAAGTTAGGGAAACTGGCCTGTAGTTCAATGCCTCTTGCCTGTCACCCTTTTTGTATATTGGGACTACATTAGCTGTTTTCCAGCTTTCTGGTAGGTCTCCTGTTTCCAGTGACCTATTATACACCATAGAGAGTGGCACGCTTAATGCTTCTGCACCTTCTTTTAGTATCCACGGTGAGATTTCGTCAGGCTCAACAGCCTTTGTCACATTCAGCTCCAACAGATTCCTTTTGACGTTATCACTGGTGAGGTCAAAACCCTCCAAGGTTGCTTGGTTTGCCTCCTCATTTAGCGCAGGGGCTTCTCCTTGTTCTTTTGTGAAGACCTCCTGGAATCTCTTGTTGAGTTCTTCACACACCACCTTGTCATTCTCTGTGTATCTATTCTCCCCTTTTCTTAGTTTCATCACTTGTTCCTTCACCGCTGTTTTCCTCCTGATATGGCTGTGGAGCAGCTTTGGTTGGGTCTTAGCTTTACGCGTCAAGCAAAGCTTAGCGTCAAGCAAAGGCACTATCCTCTGTCTAAACACTACTTCCTCTTTACCCGTTCCACCTCTCACTCGGTAATCTCTTTTTTTTTTTTCTTTTTTGAGATATATACAAGAGTTGTTACATTCTTGTACAGCCACTAGTACGCGTAGCGTTTCGGGCAAGTCCTTAATCCTATGGTCCCTGGAATACGATCCCCTGCCGCGAAGAATCGTTTTTTCATCCAAGTACACATTTTACTATTGCGTTAAACAGAGGCTACAGTTAAGGAATTGCGCCCAGTAAATCCTCCCCGGCCAGGATACGAACCCATGACATAGCGCTCGCGGAACGCCAGGCGAGTGTCTTACCACTACACCACGGAGACTGCAAAGTATATATATACAAACACAAAAGCCGGGCATACACTTGTGATATTCTCTCAAAGTAACTCATGGATATTACAAATTATAATCCCTTAGTTTGGCTTTGTATCTGTAGTAACGAGAGACAACCCACAGGAATTACCACATGATATAACCAGTTGTTTAATTCGTCCATGGCTTGCGATCGATATAATTTGGTTAATTAACGTGATATTAATCACACTGGTGTATATATATATATATACTGTATATACCAAAACGAATTATGTTTTCTTATAACACGAACGAGGGTATATAGTTGTATTATATTTGTTTAAATACACAAAACGTTGTACTTAGCAAGGAGTGTGTTGGGCGAACAGGCATGTGAGGGTGAGGCCAGTTTCTGTGACCGGACAAGGAAAAGGGTGTCAGGCTGCGACTCTATCTATACTCTTTTTATCTAGAGGTAAGATTAAACCTTTTGATTTATTAGTTAGTGTATATTTCGAACAATCGCAGCCTAGAGGTGGGAATGCATGAATGTTTAATAATGCTCCTTTAGAGCATTATTAAACGGGTAGTTGGCAAGTTTTTAGCTGGGCGACTAATACGAAATTATATTTACCACTTAATTAGCCTTTTATAGTTTTAGACCTGAGCATTTTTCTCCCAGATATACATTCTCGTGTAATTTTGGGAGCTTCATTGAATCCTTTTCACAGGGAATATTTTTTCTTAATGTTTGCGAATCACTGCTCAGAGGCAAGTTCGAATGTAATCGATAATCTGCCTATTATGAAGTATATTTTCGTAATGTTAATTAATTCAACCTACCTTGAATAATTAATTCAGCCTAATGAAAATGACCTTGGACATAAATATCTCGGTAGTACAGTTGGCCTCGTTCTCGAATCGCAATAGGAAATCCTAGATTCCAATCCCAGGCGGGATAGAAATAGCTGGGTGTTTCCTTTCATCTAATGCCTCTAGCAGTAAATATTTTTTATGTATCCAGGAATTACTCAACTGTTGTGGAGTTGCATCCTGGGAAGGGTCGAAACTATTTCGACCTTGTGAGAGTGGGGCGGAAGAAGGTATGTCGATACCAACCTAACGTGTATATATTATATGGCTGCTTGTCCCCCAACAAGACTATAGAGTACAGTACAATCCATTCTCAATCTATGCTCGTCAAAGTTGCGCTCCACCACAAGTTAAAAATTCTAAATTTTAACGTTTAGTAATCAAAATAAAAACCAAATTTTGGTTTAGTAACCAAAATATATATAAATCTATATAATGATTAATGAATGTTTATAGTTACGCCTAGACTGGAGTGTTTTTGTTATGTTGACAATTATTTGTATTTTCCGTGAAGCATTTCAACCCTTAACTCATGTGGTACCTTATCAAAGCTTTTCATAAGGTACTACATGAAAGACTATAGTAAGAAAATGACGGGTCCCACCCGTGACCGTGAGAGGGTGCGGGTGCAATCTAGTTGTTGCCTGACAGGCGTTGCGTGAGGTTGTTGGTGTGGCTGTGTCAGCTGATGTGATGGGGCTCTCCAACTCCTTTTCCCACCCTGGTACCCCTATTGCCCCAATCCGTCGGGTATCGACGATTGGCCTGGATTTCACCCGCCGAGCGACTTACCCTGCGGTGCAGGTGGCCCTGCTTGACCTACTGGGAGTGGATGTGGCAGTGGTTTATGGAATTCAGCTTCACACACGCCGCCGGGCCTTGGTGAAGTTCGGCCCCGAGGCTGCCTACCAGGATTTCATCGGGCGCTATAATGGGCGCACCTTCCAGCTGCCTAATAATGGTGGTTCAGTCACTATTTCTGACTGGAGCGGCAGGACCTCGTATGTCGCCGTTCATGGTGCTCCCTTTGAATTCCTTGCTTATCCAGTGAAGGGTCCTTCCTATATAGTCTGGATAAGTGAGCTTAGTTTTAATATGAACCATTCAGTAATATGGTACATGACGTAGGTGATCTAATCCACCAACTCTTCATTTCAACACCTTTTTTAAATAACTTTTTACACAAGCACTCCATTACGCTCCATTCTTCCCTTTCATAAGTTACATACCATGAATATTTTTGTACAGCTCTTTAGTACATGTTCTAGTATGTATCTCAGTTTGCAGCTGGTGTCACTTATTCCTTGCAGGACATGCATGACAGTCTTGGTGTTCCATTCCCACTTTACTCTTCAAAACACCCGTTGCTCTTAATTTCTTGGTACAGTAATATAATGGTAATTTCACTTGTAAATATTACAACAAAATTCTTTAGATACAAAAACAAACTTTTGAAGTCTTATATATTTGTCAGTGTTTTAAAATGGAAGATTTAAAGAATAAATTACATACAGGTACTACAATTAATTTTAAGTGTAACTGTCTTGGCAAATATAATGCAAGAAATTAAAAACTATTACAAAACTAAATTCACAATTTAAAGTGTGATTTGTTATAATTTAAATCTCCAACATAAAAATATTAAAAGTACAGTATATTTATGACTATTTTTTTATTGTAAAATTCTTGTACATTACATGCTTATAAACATTATCAGATCTTTAATTTTAAATACTTCATTGACCAAACCACACACTAGAAAGTGAAGGGACGACGATGTTTCGGTCTGTCCTGAACCATTCTAAAGTAGATTGTGAAAATTTAGTCACTTTCTTCAAAAAGTCAGATATAACAAAAAAGAAGCCATGGTTTCAAGCTCAAGTTACAATGTAGGACTGAGAACAGATGATTTTTCACCCATAGGATTATAAACCCATGGAACAGTGCCTATCCAGCCATAAATGCCAAAACTTAAATTTGTAAGTGTTGGAAGTGATCAAGGCATGGGGGGGGGGGATTTTTGACAAGCTGCCAAATGGGTCTAAGTCTGCAGATGGTGTAGGCTACTGTTGTTTTTCTTGATCACACCTATGTTACCTGCCTCCGGAGACTAGCATCTTCATGGCAGAAATTTATGCTATTCTCTATGCTCTTCGTCAACTGCTTTCTTGCTGTCAATCCTCCTTTGTTGTTGTAGTTGACTAGCAGTGCCCTCATGACTCTGGAGTCCTTTAATCCAGTCCATCCGGTGGTAATAGAGATTCGGCATTGGCTGTTTATCATCTCCGGTAGATTTAAGATGGAGTTCTGCTGGGTTCCCAGCCATATTGGGGTCTTTGTAAATGAGCGTGCAGATGCTGCCACTAAGGAAGCTATCTGTATTTGTCCCATCTCCTGTAAAGGTATTCCTTATTGACTTTTACCCAGTTATTCATTCTTCCATTCTTGCTTGTTGGCAGGTTTCTTGGTCTTCTGTTACTGGTAACAAACTAAGTGTTCTTAAGTGTAGTATCCCCCATGGCCATCCCCCTACCACTGTAACCGGCAGTGGAAAACGGCTCTGGCGAGGTTGCATATTGGTCATACACGCTTAACTCACGGGCAATTAATGGAGTGCCGCCCTGCTCCTTATTGTCCAAACTGCATTGTCCCTCTTATGGTAGTGCATATCCTTGTTGAATGTCCCGACTTCCAGGACGAACATGTCTTGCTTCCCCACCATCCCTCAGTCACTTTATTTCTCGATAGGATTCTTGGTAAATCGGATACTTTTGATATCGTTCGCCTTGTGCGTTTCTGTTCTCGTATTGGCATCCTTGGTGATTTTTAGCGCCCTCAGATTATTCTGCACATTTGATGGTACTACATAGCCTTCCTGGCTTGGTGCCTTCCTTTTGCCTTCATTGTCAGATAGACAATGTTAACATTAGCAATAAAAATGATGGAAAATTCCTTGGCCTTACACAAAAAGATTAAACTTCCACATCCACATACAACACAGCCAAAAAAATATAAAAAACTGTCGGTATACAGTACTTTAAAATCATGTTTCCATTCTGCTCTCCTCTTATTGTACTATTTGCTAATCTATCTCTATCTTACAGATTGTATATGTGCATGGGGTTCAAGCACTGCAAATTATCTCAGGCTCATTACCACCCAGTAAAAAGATCATATGTTCATTTAAAAATTGAAGTACCATGCTGTATGGTAGTGATAGTCCCCCCCATTCTATGTTGCCATGAGTCACTACTGGTGGTAAGGACCTTAAAGATGTAACAATTCTTTCATTTTTCAGGTAAACATGTGGGAGCCTCAGGGATGCTGCTTTTGTTGCAGCCTTCGAACTGGGAGCATTTTCCTGTGCAGCCTGTTTGTGGTAAGACATTTTAATAAAGCGGTCATTTGAGGAACACACAGTTGCATATTTCAGTTAAGTCAGTGAGGCTACGAGAAATCATTATTGTAATTTCAGTATTTAATAGCAAAGAAATTGGTGCCTTGTAATTTCTGAAGTTCGTCATTGAAAATAGTCGCATAATTGGTCAAATCTAATGTTCCATTAAGTGTCCTCTATTTTGTTGATTTGCCAAGAAGGCACATGCTCTTATGCTGATAAGAAACACGGTAGACCCTTTCATAACATGCGTTTATAGAATGCTTTTTAATGAACAAGGTTATTTACCCATAAATAGGATTTGACAACCCTGTAGTATGCCTGTTGCATAGTAATTAAATTTTTGTATTTCCAGGTAATAAGTCTTTTGGATGTCACATGCATGATCAAGGTATTCTTCAAAGGTCATGTTGTGGAGAAAGAAATTGAAACAATGTGCGAGGATAAATTCTCGTATGAATCTGACTGCCAAGTTCATGTACAATCCATTAGTAAGTTAGCCAGTTGATTGTATTTAACAAGATCTTGATGAACCATGCAGATTGAGGCTTCATGGATGGGGATTATGCATCTTGTAGTCAAGTTAAACAAAACTAATACTGTTTAATACAAAGTACAGCATAGGAATGTAAACTAGCCGACCATTAAAAATGTTAAGTAAAATGCAATACATCATTCTTGTTCCCAAAACTGATATTTATTTTTTAGACCACAAAGTAAAAGAAAAATATAAAACTAAGCCCAGAAAGCTATTAAATAGTGTTGAGACCACTAAATGTGGTCAAAATTGTCTACATTGTGGAACTTCAAAAAATGGACGATTGAAATTGGGACTGAACCTGTTAAGAATTGCAACACAGTACAGGATTTAGATTTGTTCTATCCAGTTTTTATAATTTGTTTTGCTATTTACTGAATTGACAAATTTTTTGGGTAGTTTCCTCTTTTGAAAATACCTGAATACATAATTAATATACAGACTAAATTGCATTTTGAATATAAACTAATAAGAATTTAAAATTTTAATCTAAAATTTCTAACTACAGTATTAATTTTTACAAATCAATAACAATTTGAGGCTGCCTCAATATTTGAACCCCATCTGTACAATAAGTGTCCAATTGAAATTCTTTGCAGCCTATCTGATTTCATTCTATTAAGGTTCTACTGTTCAAATCTTCATATTACTAAGCTAGACTTCTGAGAAAATACTTTTATTTAGCGTTGTCTAAATTATCAGTTTGTTTTTATATATACTGTACAGTAATGCTCATTTAATATGCAGTTACTGGTGTGGTGTCTTTCCGGGTGATTGTCGACTTCCTAAAACTGACGCTCTCAACACTAATGATCCTGAGTATCTTAAAGGTGAATTTTCTCATTTTGATGTACAGTATTCTTAATATTGATATTTCTCATAGCATCTTCAAAGCTATTCGTATTCTGTACAGTGGCACCTCGATAGAATGGACTAATTGAAACCAGACCTGTTCTGCTTTATCAAGGATTCAGGCCCACAGAGCTTTTTACCATCTTTGGCTATCTATTAAGTCTTGGGTTAAATTTTTTTTTTCCCCACATTTTGCCTGAAATGCCGTGTGTATTAGTGGCTTTAGACATAGTATATACTAGTTCTAGAAATCAAAACATTTTTGATCTAGAAATCAAACATTTTGCTTGTAACTCGATTTGTATGCATGTACTTTTACCTAAATAAAAATTTATTGATTTGATTTATATTATTTATATTAGAATTTTTTATATTTTTCTGACCCCCAAATCACAGAGCACATCTTTGTACATATATAAGAAAACATATAAACAGTGCATTTGAAATGTTTGAAAGGTAAAATAGGCAAATTGTGTATTTATAAGCCCCCCCCCCCAAAAAAAAAAAAAAAACTGCAATTTGTACTTGCCTTGAAAAGCCCATTAATCCTTGTTAATCTATGCAAGCAGAATGTGGATATACAGTGCAATACAGTAGAATTATATGCAATACAAATACAAAAAATTCTTGACTGATGCTTCTTTACCCATTAAGCTCATTAAAACTCTTTATTCTTTAAAAATGGGGTCTTAGTAATACAGTTGGGTTCATCCTCAAATCTTAATTGGGAATCCCAGACAGGACAGAAATGGTCGAGCGCATTTCCTATCGCCTAATGCTTCTACTCACCTTGCAGTAAATGGATACCCAGAAGTTAGTCAGCTCATTATAGGGTTGCATCTTGGAACAAGTCAGTAGTTCAATCTTGTGAGGACCTCAAAATTAACCTAACTTGTATAGATATACAGGCTGCCTCTCCCCAACAAAATTAATTAACAGAGCATTTTTCACTGAGCCATTATCAGCCATTCTCATTGGCACCACCCTGTAGCTGCTTATTATATTTGTTTTTGTTATTTTATTTTATTCACAAGGTACAATAGGTTTGTACAGTCACATTATTGTGATTACTCTGTGAAATGAGTAAATATAAATCACGTGAGCTTATAACTGATACAGGCGGAGGTAGTTAAGTGTAAGTACAAAATAATAATCTGAACAGATAATAATGTAGCTGGACTAGGTATGCAGTGTAAACTGGTAAAATGAAAATGAGGTAGACAAAATTAAAAATCTGATAATGTAATTATAATTCAAACTAATTAACTAGGAACTAGAGTACTAAATCTAGGAACAATTTAAATAAATATTCAAATTATAAAATAGTTAGGGAGATTAAGTGCAACATAACAGTACGAGTGATTAATTGTAATGGAATAAGTGTAATAACCAAATAAGTGGTTGACAACAGAAGAACTGGAATATAAATGGTTGAATAAATAAAAAAAAAATTACAAACTTAAGAATAATAGTAAAATATATATATTTTTCTTTAATTAGTTGTGATAAAGTAGTTTATAGAATGACATGAAAATATTGGACAATCAGAGTTATGAACAATAAAATAATGAAGAGAAAATAACTAACATGAATGTAATGTAGTAATGGACAGAAAATAGTTGAATTACCATTTTTTATGAGCATTAACATGGAAACTAGGGAACAAATAAAAAGACTAGAGAATGTGTGCATCACACTGTCAGTTGCACAGTCCAACAGTGGATGACAAGATTGCACAGACAGCTTCACTCTAACCTGTGTGAACCTCAGTATACCTTACTTACTAAGTCTGTTCCCAACACTGGTGTACCACGTTAAAAAATAATACTGCCCTCGTTCACCAAGTTTCTTTGAGAACAAGAAATTATAATAAGTTTTAAAGTAAATCGGGCAGCGTTGCTTGCCCGAAACACTGTGCGTATTAATGGCTTTAGGCATAGTATATAAAGTACTAGCTTTACTTGGAAATCCAATATTGTAACTCGTTTTGTATGTATGTACAGTACTTTTACCTGAATAATGATGATGATAATAATAATAAACATTTTATTATTAAAGAGGATGACACACACTTGCACTTTTTATCAGTGCATAATAAAAGAAAGTTTTAATATAAGGAGTGAGCTGCCAATTTGACTGAATTTAATGCATTAAGTCAGTGCATTATCAAACTGAACAAAAAAATGTATTGGGGGAAGGCACGGAAAAACATTTAAATAGAACATGACAAACTATAAGGTCTAAATAAGGAATACCTAATGATACTGTGATAATATTTAAAAGCTTGACTTATGGAAATACAGTACAGTATGTAAGAGAACAAAGACTCATCCCTAAACATAAATTTACCGGATAATGTTGATTAGGTCTAAAGCTAAGCATTAGTTTATTAAATTCAATCTATCCATTCCTAATGTGCATTGTTCATGGTTATCATGTTCTATAGTGCTTGAGACTTGCTGTTCATCTACACGGCACATATTTATATAGCTTCGTAGTTATTAAAAAAAAATTAAAGTAAACAAATGGCCATCTTAGTTGGCTCACAAGCAATTGGCCTTTAGTTAGAATGCTCAACACCATATTAATCTGTTCATTTTAATTGTCAGTAGGTACCTGCTGGGAGTTGGTATACTGTTGCAGGTTGCATCCTGATTAAGTGCAGTTGTTGGCTAGGGATTAAGCTTATCAGGCATCTGGCATACAGCAATGTTAAACCAAATATTTGATAGATTTTTAATCTAAAGATCAACTACATACAGTATTACCAAATGATTGTAATGTATCATATATTATTTTAACAGCCAAAGTAAAGCTGCTTTAAATGTCATTATTATTTGACTACACTGATGGTAACTCTAGTTTTCACAATGAAACTATTGTAAATTTTGAAGATTACAGTTGAAGTTTCACAGATTCGCATCCATTTAATGGCAAGACTTGTTTTTGTTGACTGGCAGAGACTGAGTCAAACTTACAGGTGTTCTAAGCTTAGACCAGCTACTTTTAATTAATTTTCCAAACACCACTTGGGATTCTTTCCTTGGTTGTGGTTAAAGTTAATATCTGAAGTATATTATGTTAAAATCTTTCGTTGTTCTAAGCACCCTTTTACTGTTGGCATGTAATTGATGTAAATTTCTTTTATATTAGTTTATGGCCTATACATAATTAAAATCATAAATTGCATACCTAATGTCATATTGAGAACGTTTTCAAATTAAAATAAGGCACACTGCACATTACGAACAGTGTCCCTTTGAATTTTGTGGGAACCCTATCACACCTTTAAAATTCTGGTATTTACTTTTATAGAATATTTCTATTGACAGGATCCTTAGTTCTCTTTGTGTGATTAGTAAGCATTAAATGGTTACAGTAGTGATTAGTGATATACAATACAGATGTAAAATCTGTTTTCTCATTTCCAGAAGAAGATAAAGCTGATGATTCCTTTAATGATTATGGTCTTCACCGAGCTAGTACTCTCGTTACTAACAGGCACAGTGATAATTATTTTACTTGCCACAATTGGCACTGGAAAAGCTGCTGTCGAAATAGCTGTTGTTATTGGTCTGGTGGTATTCTTTGAAACTTACTTGCTGCTTGTTTTCCGTGCCTACTACATGCAGGTTAGTGTGTTAAGTCTATTTTTCATTCATACTTGGAATAATAATTTTACTATAGGTATATAGCTGCCCTTTTGTATTTTAATCAAAGATGATTACTACTAAACTTTACAAATGCATGCATTTTTCTTCATTGGGAATTTTTCTACTTATTACTACACACCATTCTAGTAGCCTTATTTTTTATTTCGATCTACATTATATACTACAGTAGTTTGACATTGTTGCATTTGTTACCAATTTCAACAATCTGCAACATTCTTACTTAAATTAAATTTGATTGCTGCTATTGAATTCTCAATTTCTGGTTACTTGAACTTGTGATAATTAATTTATGAAGAAAGAATATTGATGCAGCCAAGGCAGATTAGGACAGAAGACCAGCTGAATAAATCTTTTTGTTCAGGCAAATAAAGTAAAGTACAATACCTGTATTGCCATGACTTGGTGGAAGAGATTAAACATAGAAAAGCAATGATGTATTGTTCTAATGTGTACTTTAAATAACCTGTCTTCATTACTGTTTTATATATATATATATTTTTTTTTAGATAAAGAGAGAAGATGAACAGATGGAAAGATTACTGGATGAGATTACTGATATTGATATTTAATAATATACAGTACGTACAATAAAAAAAATATGGTCATGTAAAGAAATATACTGTACTTTTAATATTTTTTATGTTGGAGATTTAAAATATAATAAATCACACTATAAAGTGTGAATTTAGTTTTGTAATAGTTTTTAGTTTCATGCATTATGTTTGCCAAAATTGTTACATTTAAAAAATAATTATGTAATTTATGTACACAATCTTTCATTTAAAACTTTGACAAATATATAAAACTTCAAAAGTTTGTTTTTGTATCTTTAAAGAATTTTGCAGTAATGTTCACAAAGTGAAATTACCATTATACTGTACCAAGAAATTAAGAGCTACAGGTGTTTTAATGAGTAAAGTGGGTATAGAACCCCAAGACTGTCATGCATGTCCTGCAGGGAATAAGTGACACCAGCTGTAAACCGAGATACATACCTGTACTAGAACACGTACTAAAGAGCGTACAAAAATATTCATGGTATGTAATTTATGAAAGGGAAGAATAGAGCATAATTTAGTTCTTGTGTAGAAAGTTGTTGTGAATGGATGGATTAGATCACCTAAGTTATGTACCATAAGACTGAAAGATTGATATTAATACCAAGCTCACTTATCCAGACTATATGGGAAGGACCCTACACTGGATAAGCAGAATTTCTGTGGAAAGCCTGTCAGCTCCCTGAAGATATCCGAACTGATATGTGCACATATTTGGAGTTTTAAATTACAACTTTTATACCGAAAATATGCAAATTAGTGAAAATAGCTATTGGTAATATTTTGTACAAATCCCCCTGCAGTTTTCAAAATACAATGCCTATCAGAAACAGGACTCTTGAGTATTATTTCAGAGTGGAATTCAAGGTGATTGTACATATTTGGAGTTTTGAATTGTAAATTTTTATACCGAAAATATGCAAATTGATGAAAATGACGATTGGTCAAATTTTGCCCAAATCTCCCTGTAGTTTTTAAAATACAATGCCAATCAGAAATATGACTCTTGAGCGTTACTTTTGAGTGGAATTCAGGGTGATTGCACATAAGGTATATTGAGCTTTAAATTATGATTATATACAGTATACAGAAAAAAGGCAAATTAGTGAAAAAAAAGGGATTGGTTAGATTTTGCCCAAATTGATCAGCAATTTTCAAAATACAATGCCTATCAGAAATATGACTCTTGAGGTTTTTTTTTTTTTGTTTTTTTTTCAGAATTCAAGGTGATTGCACACACTTGGAGTTTTAAATTACAACTTTTTATACCGAAAATATGCAAATTAGTGAAAACGGCGATTTGTAAAAATTTTGTCAAATCCCCCAGCAGTTTTCAAAATACGATGCTTATCAGAAATAAGACTCTTAAACGTTATTTTTTAGCCGAATTCTGGCTCATTGCACACATTCGTAGTTTTAAACTATGTTATAAAGAAAATATGCAAATTAGCAAAAATGGCAATTGGTCATATTTTGCCCAATGTGGGGGGAAAATTACTAGTAGGATATTTATTTTAATTATCATTATTTATTTATTAAATTAATTATATTTAATTTGATATATTTAGAGAGTGGACTTGTATAGTTTCAACTTTATTCCACTAGTAACCTCCTTCACAAACTTGGAAGGGTTATTTCAATATGTTCTACCAAATCAAAACTAATTGATAAAATTTGTTACTACTGGTTATTCTACGATTTCAAGAATGGTTAATAATATGAATATGGACAAGCTTAGCTGTCTTTGTAGAATGAAGCTTGTTTAACAAGCAATAGACATGTCTGGATCACGTAAACTCGGTCTCCTTGTTGATCATGTGATTATGGCGTCGTCGCGTGTAGTGTGATAAACCAGTTAATTTGCTGCTAATGTTTCATGCAGTCACAATTTCACCTGCCGGAATGTTACATTATAACTAATGTAAAACATTTATATGACAGATATAACAATGAGATGTATTAAATTAATGGTGGATACTTACCTGTTCTGGGTGGTTTGTCCTACCTCATAACCGGCTGAATATTACATGGTATTAAATGGACAGATAATAATTATAAAGTAGCAGAACCATAAACAAGGTACAGTATTTCCCAATACTTGGTGAGAATGCTATGAAAAATAGCTCAAAGATATCTCGGAAATCTCGAGAATTTTTAGTACACTATACTATGCAGCATGTCTTACGAGAGGTCAAACTTAATGGCGTTCTCTTTCTAGTGTAATGATTCCTCCTCCTCCTCTCCTGCTCTGGATACGTCCAAAAATTCCTAATTTTTCAGTTCGGGTGAAGTAGTTTTATTTAGTGTATTTGATTACTAATAACTGTTACAGGGAAGCATTTTTTATTAAATACAGCCATCTGACTGTAGATTTCAATATTAATTGATTAATATAATTTTGGAACGAGATGTAATCGACAAGCAATTTAATATTCTCGTTTTCTATAGAAAATCACGATGCATTCTATCTCTTAACCCTTACACTACTATAGCCTGGGCTGTAAATGGGGGGTATAAGCTGGGGCTGGGCAAAAAAATATTTGAATTATGTTAAACAAATCTCCAACTTATTGGCTTCAGCATTGTGAAAGTTTCATCCCAATATTTTCAGAAATGGATGACAAATTTTTGTTAAGAAGAAGAATGTTTTATTAATAAGGAGAACAGCTCCTATTAATTTGAACTGAGGGATAATGCAGTAATAAAGAGATGCAAGCACCTGTCCGATGCACAAAGAAGAATAGTAGTTAGAAGTGTCCACAAAGTGGATATGCAGCTGGTGCCTTGATTGCATTACTGAGTAATACATAATAACACCAATAACAATGAGTATGTTATTAGGCTCTATTTTGTTATATATCATACAAATATATTGTCCAATTGTAATATCTATTACTTTCACCAATGTCCCAAAAAAATTTTTTAGGGGAGATTTTTATATTTTTTTTTTATCTTGTTTGTTTATTATTTGATTTTGCTGTAACCTCTACATCCTGGCAAATGCATATCCGTCCCTAACTATGTGAAGAAAGAATTAAATTGGTGAACAGATAAATAAGTTATAACTGGCAGAACTTGGGACTGTGCATAAATTTTGCAAATAGTATTTAGCTCTTATACTGGTATAAATACAATTCAAAACTGTAGTTTCACTCACAAAATACAAGCACATATGTTTTCATAATAAAAGTAATGATTATTACTGTTTGCATTTTAACAAAAATTTGAACATAGTAAATTAACTTAACACTTTCGCACCCCCTTCGATGGTAAAAAAAAAAGCGGTATGTGCGCAGAGCGTTTTTGCTGAGTAAGCGTAAAAACAAAAATGCGTATACTCTTTTTACTCTCCTTACCTTAGTTCTTGAGATACGTATTTCATTTTGGTACCAACGTGTTCGCAATAAAATTCTCTAGAAGAACATCAGCAAAAAAAGTCACGAAACGTATAGGGATACCAGCACCAAATAAATAACTACGAAGATGACTCGCCGTGAGCGCCCAACAGCAACAAAATGTTTTTACTCTTGGGATTGTTATCACCTCCACACTTGTCCTACAGCGTTAATTTTGGTATCAATGGACTCGCAATGAAATTCCCAACACGGTGATATGAATATAAGCGTAGAATAATGATTGCGGCCCGCCCGCAAGAGTGTGGGAAGTGGTGAAATTGTTACCCGGTATCGGTGACGGGACGACGCACGGCGCTTTGAAAGCTTATACTTACAGTATTTCACTCTCATGACATTAATTTTCTATGTACGTCATTCATTTTTGTGTCAATGTGTTCGCAATAGAATGTTCTATGAGCCCATAGGTAAAAAAGATCAACAAAGCGTAAGATAGAATAGCGCCAAATATAAAACAACACTGGAACATATCAGTGAGCGTCAAACACACACGAAATGTTTTTACTTTTGTTATGTTTGTCAAGTTTATACTTGTTGCACACAGTTATTTTTGGTTGTACATTGATCGGAATAAAATTCCCTAAACAGACATATGCATATAATACATGATATGGGGGAAGCATTACCAGTATAAACGGCTAAAGTCACCCACCTGCAACCCGTTTGGGACATACCATTTGATCGAAGTGGTCCACAGCTTTCATGAACTTATTGTACCATGCAGCCTAGTGGTGAGAAAGAGAGCCTCATGGCGCGCAGTTTGAAACAAACCCAAAGTAAATCGGATAAAAATTGAATTTTATACAAATATTTTAAAAGAGGACATAACTTTATGTCCACTATGCGGTAGCGTTAGGCGAAACAGGACGCAGCGGTGCGTCCGGTTAGCGCGAAAGTGTTATTAATAGCAATTATTTTCAAAATGTTAATGCATTATGTATGATTAAAGTTATAATATAATATATTCGTTGTTTTAAGTGATACAGAATTAAAAAATATAACAAAAAAAGACATATTGATATAAACTGATATAACAGGAGCAATGTACATAATGTTCATGGTAATGTGACAGAATATCTATTTCACGACAAATTAAATCTGCAGTGGCCATTCCTCACTCCAACTAATTAGGTCATCCTTCAAAAGTTTCTTCTGCATCAATAAATGAGCTTTGTATGTTTGTGGCCAGATGGATTGGAGACAATGAGTCACTAACGTGGCTGAATATATGATGCCCAAACCACACATCAGAAAACGAAGAAACTACTTTTTGGTCCATACTGGTCCATTATCAAGTTGTGTAAAAGAGACTGGAAAGAGTCAAATAAATAAGGTAAGAAAGTGAGGTAAAAGGCAAGAAGCATGAAAGAGAAGGAAGGTAAGAATAAGAAGAGAGGTCCAAATAGGATAAAATGTCATTTCTTCATTTTCTGATGTGTGATTTGGCCACCAGATGGATTATTTCTCAGTTTAAACAGTTGTAATAAATTAAACTGTATTTATCCAGAATAAACATGTCATGAAAAATATTGAATTTCGGTCATGAATTGATAAAAAAGCATCATATAGTTCTGACTGAATGACTCGCTATTTTACTGCAAAAAGACAACATTCTAATCTGAATTGTTGTTATTCAGCCTGTCCTCCAAACAAAGACCCAAAAGTGATTCCGTGCACCCTGTTTATGAATGAAAAACGGTTTACACACGACTCTCAACTGATTTCGTTCGAACCCTTCCGGAACAAGTGCTTCACTGATGAATTTTGTTTGAACCACAACGCTGTAAATGCTTCACCCACGTACTACAAATAATTGCCAGCAGAATCTAAACACCTAACCTAA